GAAATTTTAGCACGTGTATCATGTGTCACCTTGTGGCTAAGCTTTAAGACTTGGTGCACACATATCCTGCCTTTTTTTTTTTCCTTTCTGCCATGGTGACCACTTTTCCACATGGGGGCTGCTCGGTTAGCCTGAGTCCTGGAATGAGGAGAGAGAGCACAATCCTGATCAAACTTGCAATGGTCAAGTGAGGAAGAAATAAACTTTGACGTTATAATCCAAAGATGTTTCCGTGTTCTTCATTTCTGCAGCACTACTAGCCTGTCCTGAGGTGACAGATCATCTCAAATCGGCTTGGCAATGAAGGAAATTTATCGACTCCTAGAACTGAAACTGTAAAGGCAAGGCGAGCTTGAAGCAGGAGTGATGCAACAGCTCACGATGTAACCAAAAAACTGTATTTTCTACCTTGCATGGTTCAAGCAACTGCTGTGGTTGCCAGATGGCTCTCAAAAGTGCTTCTAACTATGGCATTCTTTCATATCTAAAAAGAAAAATGAATAGCACTTCCTATAGCTATTGTGGAAAAACAGGGAATCTGTTGTCTCCCCTAGATACTCCTAGCAAATGTATTTCTGAGTCTCACTGACAATTTTTATTGTCTTCAACAGATCTCTGTAGGCTGGGGAATGGAGTCTTGTGATTTGTGTGCATTAATCAGAGAGCATTTCTGGATCTCAGAATAAGCTCAGTCCCGTACACTGTGCGATACTGAGAATGGAAGTGGGGTTCCTCAAAGAAAATTCAGGATGCTTTAGTGTCAAGGAAAGAGACAGAATACTGAGAGGAACAGTAGGATTTTATTAAAGCTATAATAATGTAAAGCGGGCTGTTAAAATTCAAATGTTTTATTCAGCTATGTGTATTTTGCCTGGAAAATACCCTGTTCCTGTTAACTGACAGTTAAATATCATCTGAGGGAGAAACTGCTTTTGAGAAAGAAAATTAAGACTAGTTTACAAAAAAATAATGAGAAGAAATACATTTTTTTAAGTTTGTAGATAAAGTTAACTCAACTTTTATAGTACATTTTGCCATTACAGCATTAGAAAGTTCATCTATTTTCAGATTAAGTGTCAGAGGGACAATGTTCCCTAAAAATAACACCCAGATGGTTTTCATTGCCAGGCGGCCTCCACCTGTCATTCTTGGTTCATCAAATGAATATCCTCACGTTTAACACGACACGATCCTGATAAAGATCTATGTTGACAGCACACAATACACCTTAGCTTTCCTATACACCCAGTGATAACACCATTTTTTCCAAAGAATAAAGAAGTCATGTCAAAAAATTTCTAAAAGATTTGTGCTTTATGAAAAATCATGCCCTTTATTTTTTCTTCAGATTATTTATGACTTGTATCATCATATTGCATAGTTATAGCTTCAATAGTTAAACTTCTTATTCATCCAGAGTAGAGCTGAGGATAATTCAGAATATCATGAGAAAGATACCATATTTCTATCTATTTAGCTGTTCTTAATTTTTCTGGCAATTATGGTAAATGGTTGCATAATCGAAATTAAAATAAATTTCGGTTTTATTGGTTTGGACATTTCTGTAAAACTACAAGGACTTCTAGTTTTTTCATTAGGTTCGAATTCTTGACTGAGGTCTGGGTAGAAGCTGTTTCTAAGTAATTGGCAACAAAATTGTTATCAAATCAAATACAACACATAATCCAGCTTTTGTCTGGCACTGCTTCTCTGAGGTACATGCAAGTTTATTTTTGGTCTGCCTCCTTTTTTCTCTGTATCTTTCCCTATATCTTTATCGTATATTTTTCTTTCACTATAATCAGTACCATATATGGCATCATTGTTTCCCATTAAACAACAATATTAGTTTCTGAAAATGTCAAAGTTGAGATTGGAGAGATTTGTTTAAATATAGTTCTTTCAACCAAGACTTCTCTCAGAGGGCAAGATACGAAAAAAGAAATACATTCTATTTTGAACATTTCTGACACTTTCATTTGCAGGCTGCAAAGGGTGTATTTTCCAGGACTTTTTTTTTTTAACAGAACAAAAT